AGAGCTGTTATCAGTTGTTTTTGGTTCACCTACAGCAGATGGAGGGTTTGGGCCCTGGCGCTGTGGCAGCGGCCGGAGAGCTCTCACAGGAGGAGGAAGACGAGCTGGGCCCACAGGCTTTGGTGGTTGTGGGGCCCACCGTTTTTTAGTTGATATCTGGGGGCTTGCAGCAAAAGAGTGGGAGAGTCTGGTCCCAGCATAAACCAGTTCCTCCATTTTCTGTGAGAAGCTTAGAAGTGGAGATGCTGGAGAGAGGGATAATGTGTCTGGTGAGTGGGGCTGTGGCTCTGGTGCTTCCGGTGGCTGAAATATGTTGTCCTGGCTTCCCTGGCTGTTTTCCAGAAAGTCTTCCTTGGGTGCTGAGTCTTGGAGCTGTTCTGATGCGTCACAGTCTGTGATGAGCTCTGTGGGCTGGGCTCAGCCAGTATAGTTTCCATGAGCAGTGCTTGTTGTGGCTGCGTGGTGTTATCAGTGTCCTTGTGGGACTACACCCCAAATGTGGATGTCAATGTCAGTGAGATCGAGGTCGAGTCCTGTGTGAACGGCTGGAACTACAGTAAAGAGGTTTACGAGTCTACAACAGTGACAGAGGTGAGTCGTGTTGTTTGCGTGCTGATGTACTGTCGCTCTACAATCTAATGTCTAACTGCCCTAATGCTTCTTGAGATAAAGCTATGGAGAGGTCTGTAGATGATCATTCAGACAAATGAAAAAGTGCGTTCAATATTTTGTTAAATACTCAGTCCAATAACATTAAATAAGCGGAAGTATTATTTTATTTATTTATTTTAAATCTGTTTATTGAACTTTTACAATAATAACAGGATACAGATACAGGAGAATCGTGAAAAAAAAAAAATTTCCCCCAGCGAGAGAAAAAAAAAGTAGAATTAAACAAACTAAATAAAACATAAAAAATAAAAATTCGATATATATTGTAAAACAAAGAATGTCAAGCCTAATGTCTCGAGTATAGAAAATATGTTGGAGCATTAAAGTTTAGACATTTCGACCATTTATCAAATGTATGCATATACCTCCACATACAAAACCTTACAGCTTTAAAGTATATACATATACATACGCAAGTATCCACACATATAATCACACACTCCGAACCAGATTCAGGCCACGATCATAATAACATCTTAATGCTTAGGTTGACAGAGAGGATCAATACCAGGCTTGATTTTTGCCAACCTCACTTTTGTCCAGTAAAATCAGTGAATACATTTTAATTGGATAAGACTATGACGTGCACAAATAGAGGAGGTATGAACACGGGACAGGATCTGGTTCCAAGTCTCGTCATCAAATGTGAGGCCCATCGTTGTTTAATAAAAGAGAGAGAGGAAGTGGAGATGGAGGAGATCAGCCTGTATAGCGTAGACAACACACCCTTTTTATCTAAGCGTACTTCAAGAATCTGATCAAGCGAAGATCAGGGAATACTTTAGATTGGTCGTGTGCCCTGTACTTCCATTAACATGGAATCTAATCCACACAACCACACAATACTATGCATCACCCTAAGACATCGGTGTGTATGACAATACAACAGAAATCAACTGTAGTTTCTTTATCAGCCATTAAGAAGTGTAACCACTGACCTGAAGTGTCACATATCCTGAAAAGCTGACTCAGTACTTCAGACACTTTTTCTGTGGGATCAACTTTATTTCTGGTTCTTCAGGTTGACGTTCATAATTTTGAGAAACTCGGAGCAGATCTGCACAAATTAATAAGCGATTAAGCCAAGATATATGTACAGTGTACTGTTTAAAAAAAAAATACTGCAAAATAACACATTTTGAACTTCGACTGTCAACTACAGCTACAAGTATAAACCTGACACACTGAAAAAGAACCAAAAATTAACATTTGCTGTCAGTTTACTCATCCTTCGGCCAACCAAGATGTAGGCTACTTTCTTTAGTAGAACACTAAAGATGATTTTTAACTGAATTCGTGGTCTTTGGTGATTCATAAAATTCAAGTCAACAGACAACACATTATAACACTACGACCAGGAGTCTGGAGCTCAAGATTTCTGTGCCACCACGGGTATTAATTTTGTGTTGCTTGTTTTGACTCGCAAAGTGACGGCATCCGTTGAGCTGCATTTTATGAATCACCAAAGACCATGAGGTCAGCTAAAAATTATCTTTTGTTCTACTGAAGAAAGAACATCTGCTACTTCTTGCATGGCTAGAGAGAGTAAATTAATGGCAAATGTTCATTTCTGGGCAAACTATTACTTTAAAGGGATAGTTCACCCAAAAATCCTGTCATTAATTACTCACCCTCATGTCGTTCCAAACCAGTAAGACCTTCGTTCATCTTCGGAACACAAATTAAGATATTTTTTATAAAATCAGAAAGTTTTCTGACCCTCCATAGACAGCAACTTAACTGAAATATTCCCAGGCCCAGATGTCCATGTGACATCAGTGGTTCAACCGTAATTTTAAGCTACGAGAACACTTTTTGTGTGCAAAGAAAACAAAAATCACGACCTTATTCTACAGTCTTCTCCAAGTCACTGTCCTCCGCCCTTATAGAGAGTACCGCAACACATGCATGTGCATTCCTCTGCTTGTAAACACGGCTCCGAGCAGTATTTTACCGATGTCCTTACTACATTTCTGTGCCTGGCAACATTTCAGTTACGTTGCCGTCTATGCAGGGTTAGAAAGCTCTCGGATTTCATTAAAAATATCTGTGTTTTGAAGATGAACAAAGGTTTTACGGGTTTGGAACGACATGAGGGTGAGGAATTAATTACAGAATTTTCATTTTTGGGTGAACTATCCCTTTAAATATAAAACATTTTCAAGTGTGCTAAGAAAAATATTTTTACCTTTGACTCCATTTTAAACCAGGCCAGCAATCCAGGATCTCAGCAATAGGTAGGTTCCAGCATCTCTATACAATGAATGCGTATTAAAATTAATAATTGGACATCAAAACACCAAACTAAACTTCCAGCTTCTTCACTTTTATCCTGAAAAGAAAAAGATTGAGAAGTTAGTCAGGTTGTAATATTTGCCAAAACACCAGGAAAATTCTATTTAAAGCACATGACACAAATCAGTTATTTAACTTAATAGGCATCATGTGAAATATGGTGCTTAGTTTGATCCCATAATACAAACATTAAACTTTTAAATATTTATTTATACTGTATAAAAGGACAAAAATTCAGCCCTGGCACTGTAGCCACATCGGCCCACATTACCACACGACACAGCCCCACCCACAGACACACGCATTCACTACTTACATTTGTGTACAGATGGTGAAATAATATAAGCAGTACCATATATGTAACAGATATTTAAACATTTAATGTATGTGTCACGTTTATAACAAATTTACACACAGTAAAAACAAAAGAAAAAGAATCTGAGGATGTTGT